CTTGCTCCAAGTCTGCCTCTTGGATGTTCCTAATTAAAGTAACTTGAGTTTTACTTTAGTTTTACTTGAGTTTTATTAGTAGCAGGCGAGCGGAAAAGGAGCGAAAAAAAGCGGGCGGGAAAATGGCGGGCGGCGCGGGCGAGGCGGCGAGGAGGGAGGGGAGAGGCAGACTTGTTTCCCTTGCAGCGCGCCAAATTTACCGGCTGATTTTTCAACCGGAGGCGTGGCCTATCAATAATATGATTCATTCGTTTCATTGCGTGACATTTGCATGTTCGAGACTTTTTGACAAACGACAAGAAAGTAAACAAACTCTATACGGAGATGAGATCAATCAAGGATGCTATTATTTACGGAGCAAGTAAGTGTGGTTTCGATACGATCAGAGATCAGCAGAGGCAAGTTGCCGAGGCATATCTTTCAGGACGAGATGTGTTTATGTCTGCCCCAACTGGATCTGGTAAAAGCTTCACGTTTGAGATTGCTCCCTATGCATTTGATTTTATGTCAAGCGATCCTAACGCAGTTGTTGAAGAATGTCGATCAGTATGTCTTGTTGTGGTTCCTCTCATTGCATTAATGAATGATCAAGTCGCTTCTTTAACTTCACGAGGACTATCAGCAGCTTGTGTTGGAGGTGAATCAGAATGCAGTCCAGATCAGATACGAGAAATTTGTGAAGGCAAATACAAGATCGTATTTGGAACTCCCGAAGCACTGCTTAATAACCATCGTGGTATATTCCGAAGTCCTCTTAAGAAGCATTTGAAAGCCGTATTTATTGACGAAAGTCATTGCATTGCAAAATGGTAAGCTTTTATATTACTAGCTTTTCAGATAGACTTGCTCCAAATCTGCCTCTAGTTGGATGTTTTATAGTATAAATTACAAAATGAAAAACACATTATACCAAGTGAACATCATATCGCACATATATATATATATAAATACATAAACAGCCTCTTAAATTGACATAGAGTTTGACCGGAGTTCCTATGGCTGTGTATAAATATTTTATTAGCAGACTAGTAGTGCAAATTCATATCTTTAATATTAAATTAAGCTCTACTCCGAGTAGAAACTCTAAACTTAAACAAGCTTTAGTTTTTTGCCAGTTTTGTGATGACGGACAAAACAGCCTCCTGCGAACGTCGGCGTTCTCTACAGATAAACTGCATATAACGCAAATTCTATTCTTTGAAGCAGGTGAAATATCCAGGCGACTATAAACTTTTGTCGGTGTCGTTTCTTTGTCCGCCATATGCAAATTAATAAACACAATGAAACCGACACGGAAGCTGTCTGTGGAATGTCAATCAGTTTTCGCGCCAAATTTTTAACAAGATTCAAATCGCTGCAAGGGAAACAAGTCTGCCTCTCCCCTCCCTCCTCGCCCGCGCCGCCCGCCATTTTCCCGCCCGCTTTTTTTCGCTCCTTTTCCGCTCGCCTGCTACTAATAAAACTCAAGTAAAACTAAAGTAAAACTCAAGTTACTTTAATTAGGAACATCCAAGAGGCAGACTTGGAGCAAGTCTAAGATGAAGTATATACTTACATACTTAATCTGCTACGGGGACGTGACAAGAAATAGCCTTAGGCTTAAAAATAACGGACAATTGTCACTACACTGTAAATTTTAAGGAGTTGAATCAACTCTAAAAGTGTCATTCTGTCGATCACCGTTTTTCGTGACAGAATAACTCTTTTGGACTTGATTCAACTCCTTAAAATTTACAGTGTATTGGAATCTAGCACATCCTGATACTATTAGGTCAGTAACGTCTTTTTTCTTCCGAAATGAATTTGAACAGAGGTAATCATGCACTGTCGCCTAGTAGACTACTTCACTAATAACTGTTAGCAGTTTTACAAAGTATAAATATCATACCATGTGTTCTCTTTGAGAAAATAAAATGTTAAAATTGATTTAGCAACTATATCCTCGTTTTTGGTGCTTTTAAGCACATTTCAAAGGACATTTCATTGTTTTGAATATTAAACTTTTACACTTTGCAATAACAGTTTCTGTTGAAAAACATTTTATTAGCCTTGTAATGCATAACATATAAAATAATGTAATTCAATACTAAGTTGGGGTATCTAGTTTTCGAATCGGTCAATGGAATTTTCTATTTTTAATTCACTATTGTTGCTACATGTTCATTGGTTAGAACCTACATGTAAGTACCGTATAATACGCAACCACGTACGTACACAAGCTGCGTATAACTGCATGATAATGCTGGTTCTGCTATGATTCAATTGCAAGAGAAAACAGGATGTTGATTCGTTATTGGTGACGTGTGTAAAACACTGATATTGGACGGCCGGACGCCATAAGAAATCCGCAAGATGTGTGAAGGAGTTCCCCTTTGTCGTGTGTAAAAAGTCGTGTATCGTGAGTAAAGTCGTGGGTTGTAAAATGTGCTAAATCGCGTTCTTTTGCGAAATAAAGGATTATTTTTTACCAAAGTTCATAAATTCAATTTAAGCACCACCGCACGTTTGAAAATCAGTTTAGACAGTTCATGTGTTAGATGTGTAATTTGCACTTTATATCTGGTAATAAAGCTATAAATGGTAGCTGAACATTGATGGGCGACGGCTACGACTACTTTTTCGGTCAGTACGGGATGGCGTAAGCATACAGCGTGTGTTTCGCTTGACGAATCTCGTACTCGTAGTCGCTGCTAAAACTCCCTATATGAAGTAGATAACAGATTTGACACGAGTAAGTGACGAATGTAACGATATTCCCATATTGCCTACTGCATGAAGTTCAAATAGGGAAGGGTGGGAAGGTTTAAGACATATCACTGACTCTATGGCGACGAATTTATTTTTTGCAGTGTATAATAATATGAAGGTATAGGTTCAGTGCCTCTGAGTCACCGCCGTCAAACGCACTTCACCCGTGATTTTTCATATTCATCGCTAGTCATTTAACCGGTGTAGTTAAGATTGAAGATTGTTTTATCAGTGTCCTGTTACCAATGAAGTTTCCAGTAGTTATGAAACTGCAAATACTGCTAGAAAATAAAACTTTCTACAACGAACCGGTGGTGGTGGTGCGCGGTGTTTTGGATTGGTTTTTGCAACGCTCTCGTTGTAATGTAAACACCAATCGGAGCAATTTTCGGTTCAATGCGCGACTCAAGATGGCGTCTAGCTAACAAACAAACTAACTTGCTACGGTATTCTAATCTTATTTGTGGATATAGCTTGCTCACTCTTTTAAATGATGTCTGCAATATTTTGTATTTGGTAAATATATACAAGCAAATAGAAGGGCGGGGGTGGAAGCTGTTTACACTTGGCCCGTAACGTTTCGCGAACGAAGCAAAAACCGATTCGATACAATGTAAACATAGCCTTAGTGGCAGACGACGGGGTTCGCCGAGATTGCAAAATGCTTTTTCATGATTTTCATGGTCAACTGAACATTGAAAATGTTGAATCAACTGTCAGAATTGCAACTCGAAACAGCAAGAATGTAAGCGTCTTATAGAGGTCTGATCTCTATATCTTCTGATATCAAATGTTGTATCCGCCTCTCCCCTTTCATCCCTATTTACCCTTATAATTTTCCCCTAGCCTGCCTAGCCCGCGACTATCCCGCCTGCGAAAAACCCAAAACAAAACACAAAGCCTCTGCGGAGGAGATAGATAGATAGATAGATAGATAGAAACTTTTATTTAAACACGCTAACCATTGTCAACCTAGGCTGATTTCCACAAGGGGCGTGTACAATAATAAAATTACAAAGATATAGTATATAGTAAGATATTACATACAGTAAGAAATATATATATACATAATTATATAAGTATAAGAATAATAATGCTATTCAAAAATGTGAGTATTCAAAAATGTGAGTAGCGATTTTAGTTTCAAAGGACATGATGGAGTTGCTCTCTCTAATTTCGGTTGGTAAAGAATTCCAAATGTGTGCCCCGTCAAACATGAAACTTTTTTTCAAGCTATTTGTACGCGGCTGTGGTAAGCAAAGAGTACTTTCCACATCTCGAAGTTTATAATTTGTCATTTCACTTTTGAAAGTAAATAAATCAGTAAGTGATTTAGGACCCATTTTATTCAACAATTTAAACATCAGTTTGGACTTAGCCTTTATTCTTTCCGTTTTAAGTGGCTTCCAGTCTAAAGCATCTAAAGCAGCCAGATGATCTACATCATTGCTCATATTCATTATGATTCGAGCAGCTCTGTTTTGGAGCTTTTGGAGGCGTTTTGATTGTGTTTCACCAAACACATCCCATACTTCACAGCAATATGTAAAGTATGGGCGAACAATAGAATTATACACAGAGACAAGTGTATCTTTCTCAACAAATTCTTTTATTTGACGAAGAGCTGATATCCCGGATGTTATTTTCTTGCAAATTGTTTCAGTATTATTCTTCCAAGACAAATGCTGGTCAACAGTCACTCCAAGAGTTTGGCAATCATATACTTGTTTAATTGGTTTGTTTTCTATGATAATGTTTGGTTGTTTATTTGAGATACTTTTTATCATTGGTTTAGATCCAATTAATATAAATTCTGTTTTGGCCACATTTAAACTTAGTTTATTGGCAATTAACCATTTCCTAAGGTTTTCTAAATCAGAATTCATTGCAGCTTCAACATCATTTATAGATTCTCCCGCAGCTGTTAGGAGAGTAACCGGTTATATCGCGGCAAAGTGATATATCAATCGCGGTAAAACCTACATACGATTTTTTGCCACGACCAAAACTCAAACAAACACCTTTTTTCGGTCGTGCAGATTCTTCATGGTTTGGATTCAATGCCAAGTCATTGTCCAGATCTACGTACACACACCGACAATTGGCATCAACCGGCGAATAACTGAAGGGCCCTTGAATGTATAAGAAGATGTACGCTTCCTACTACGTCAAAGCATTATTTTGATAGAGATCTTTATGTGTACGTAGTCTCACGAAAAATGCATAATTTTGGTTGACGCGCGCGTATATAATGGGTAGTGAATCCTTTTAGAGACATAACGTGTGAAGACCTATTCCAAAGTGTGTCAGTCATATTAGAAACGAAGTCGTTGTACTATAAGGTAGGTGATTAAAATCTCTTGCAGGTTTTACATTTGATTGGTGGAATTTGATAAAATATGACAGTCATTCAATGAAGTGTTTGATTTTTGAAATATATTATATGCTTTATATTATTTGAATTATATTATACGGCGTTATTATCGAGCTACAGTATTTCATCAAATGTTTTCATTTTTTTAAAAATTATTTTCATATGTTATTTTGATAAATTTAAACTTGCAGAGAAATATTATAGATTATTAAAGTTCCATTTATGCAATATGCAAGAATCTAGTTATGACATTAATGGTTTTTTGTATTAAAACAAGACGCCAGTTTTGTTTTAATATTGCTGGCACAAAATTTTCACCAATTCCCTTTGCAAAAATAGAAATGCGGAGCATGCGTTTTGTTCAATTTCTCCCAAATTTGGTCACAATTATATAATGTAGGACAATAGACAATTATTGAATGAGGTTGAGTATGATTCCACCGAAACCAAAGGCTGAGGTGGATAACCGACTGACAAACCGAGGCCTTGATAATTCTCGATATCATACGAAAACCGAATTCAATAATTGTTTTATTGTATATTCAAAAGCTAGAAAGAAAGCAAAGCCATTTTGTTTATGCACTTGTCAATGTAAACCCCCGGCCCCCCAACCCCGGGCATTAGATATTTTCGTTTCTAATCAGACTGAGCTAATGCCCCGCCATGTGGAGCCAATTAAAATGGACAAATGCCCCGGCCTGTGGGGCTTTCAGAAGTTTAGAATCTTACCAAATTCAATACAAAATAAAATGCAATACTACTGTTTGTATAAAAAAACCCTGAATCCTTTCAAATTCAAATTAGCTATAACGTATTGTAGTAATTTGACAGCTCTAATTGCTTTGAATTAATGGTTGGGTAAGAACACAAGGTCTTGTACCCACGGGACAAAACTCAAAGAAATAAAAATTAGAAAATTTAAAAGAAATACAGTATTTCTTTCAAATTTTCTAATTTTTAGTTCTTTGAGTTTTGTCCCGTGAGTACAAGACCTTGTGTTCGAACAATGGACCGAGCCGGGGCTTGGTAACAACAGCGTGCAATAATACTTTTTTGGACTGAACTGATCCTCGTTCCCAGGGCTTCTCGGCTGCCTGCATGGCAACGCAAGCAGCCGAGAAGCCCTGGGAACGAGGATGGACCGAACTTCGGTAAAAAAAGTATTATTGCACGCTGCATGATGGCGTCAGCAGCTGAAATAACGCGACGGCTTCAAGATACCGAGAATTATCCTACGCGTTTTGACCAATCCGGAACGAGAATAGATTGACTTTGAATATATAATAATTATGTTAAATAAACAAAACCGTGTTCGCAATTTTGATTTAATGCAACATCTTTCTATTTATGTGCAGCTTTCTAACAGTTCGCAGAAACAGAATGAACATTTATCTTCTCCGCGGGTTTATATCTAAATTTAACGCGCCTATACTCTATAGCTCGAAGCTTGAAACAGACACGAACACTTTGAGATTTAGTTTAAGTCCGCTTTATTATTTTCCAAGAGCGTTGCCCCCTAACAACAACAGCAAAAAAATTAGCAGTGGAAAACGGAATTGTTAATATTCGTCGTCCTTTTCTTAAATTCTTTTTAGAATGGAACTCGGTATGACTATTTTCTTGTTTGTTGCAATTTTCGCTTGTTTTGGTTACCAAGCACAAGGTAAGATATCGGGACGTAAATCACACACATACGGCAGTGTGCATGTATAGGCCTAGTCAAGGTGATTTTTGTGCCAACATATATATCTATTAATTGGCCAACCACTGTTAGTCGAATTCTTAGAGAGGTCATTAGGATGTAGGCTAAGATCTAAGCCGCGGAAATGTGTAAATTAACCGCCTTACTCAACTGCATGCTAAAATTGTGAAAAAACATTTAGTTTAGCTTAGCACGTTTGAAAGTTAGGTGAAAATTGTTTTTTCTGAATTTTCGGAAAACAATCAAAATTAAGTTCATAATAATTAAGATATATATGACGCGGTTTCGCAAGCCATAATTATGCATTAATTTATAAAAGAAAGATCTCCCAAATTTCATTAATTCTGCAACAAAGAGTTATCAAAATAAATTTTTAAAAATTTATTAACCTGAAGTCCACGGAAATGCTAATGATGGCATGTCTATGCAATACCTCCATTAATATACTTCCATATTGACGTGTACATGTCCTTTGCCGGACCTGCGCTACTAACTTCCAGACGAAGGGCGTTCTTTCGAAATATCGAAGCCCTTTTTTTTCCTATTTCTCAGGCACCTGCCTCATCTATACACAAGTTTAGCATAGACCTTGTCTTTTGTAGCTTAGATCTTGTTTCTAATTAAAAATTGTTTAAAGCAATTGCATTCACTATTCAGTTTTCACAATTTGTGATTTACAACTTGCATTGCGTAACTAACAAACAATTTACTGTTTACACTTGAAGCCATATTTCGACGTGATATATGTAAATTTGGAAGCAAGTAGAATATATATTATATCCGTAATACTTGGCTATGTAACTGTTTTTGTAGCAAGAAGGCTTGAAATCTATATAAAAAGTGAAGGTTGTGATGATCCGGGCATTACCGGCTGTGGCCATGCAATTATACGTGTGAATGGTAAAGACGTCTCCAAGCACGGGCGTGGTTACAATGTTGTTGTTGTCAACGGGAGAACAGGTATATATGCATAAATATGCCGGATAAATGGAAAAATATATGGAAATCAGAGGCCTATCTTTTCCAGGCTGCTTATAGGCGTGGTCCTCGTTGAAATGGAAGAGACGAGCGGAGAAGGGTCTGCAAGAAAACCAGGGGCCGGTTGTATAAAACTCTTAATCACTTTTTTCATCACTATTTTGTAGTTACTGTGATAGTGATTAACTCTCAAATAGGCGCTTCTTATTGGATGACTTTTCCACTTAATTATAATTAACTTTAATCACTTTTTTATACAACCGGCCCCAGGCTTTCGTGAACACTGAAATAAATTTTTTTTTAGTGTCATGCAGCCCTTAATTATTATTTGCAATCAAAATTAAAGCATTTTTATTCCACACTTTGTCCGTATCAATTGAAAATATAAGTTTGTTGGAATTGCGATATAGTTACATATTTTCACTAATATTTAAGCTTTTTAAAATAATGTCACTCGTTGAAAATCAAAAACTGTACTTACAGGGTAAAAAAGTTACATCATTCACTACTGTTGCTATGGCACTTTACTCGAGCAAACGCCTTGTTAATCTATTTTTTTTACTTTCAGAAAACGTTTTTGAATCAGCAGTATGATAGATTATCTGAATGACTTTAAAAAATTCTGTAGAGCCAAATTTTTCAAAGGCAATTAATGTTTTTTGCAATAACTTGTATTTTGTCTTACAGATGCTTTTTAACTCGTTAAAGGCTGTATATTATACTGAATTTTTAATACTCTTCGGTTCGCTATGCTTGTAAATGAATACAGACTAGAGATTCATTTCAAGAAAGTTCGGAAGGTGCGAATTCATAACATTCCAATGCTCAGGTCCCGACCATTGGAATGTAGGCCTGCGCAGAACGTATGCACAGAAAGGACTTTACATGGTCTTTAATATTATAATGTGTTATACGGCAAGATAAAAACTTTCTTGAAATGTCATTGTTACCATATAGTAACAGTATGTCGTAACTGTTTTCACTACTTTCTGACTCTAGCATACTCAACTTTCATAAGGAGAAAAATTGTAGGGAGCCACCTTAACACTGTATATTATGTACTTCATTCTCCTGGGTTTTTTTTCTGAATTGCCCAACTCAACTTGTTATTCTTTTCTCCAGGAGTGGTTGAATCAAGCGTATCATTTGACACTCACCACAATCCTAAAGCACATAATGGCTTGATTTTCCATCTACACAATATACAACACGGGTAAGTTTACTGAAAATTGTCATTTTAAATTTTTTATCTGCCCCCCCCCCCCATTTTGTATTGATTGCAGATATTGTCCATAAAAAAAATACTCATGGGGGGGGGGGGGGATTTATAAACATAAATAAATTTTCCAGGCATATTTTTCGTTTTCTAAAATATTTAGTTCTTTACTTTCCCATCCATTTCATGTTTTGGCGACTACAAAAACAATTTGCCGACAAAACCTTCATTTTGTGGAAAAGATGTTTTCACACTCCCAATACTCCCTCCCCTAGCGACGGCCCTGATAGTCAATTTATACCAATATTAACCTAAATCTTATATTCAATGCTAATTCTTCGCGGATTTCAGACACGATAGTCAGTACCTGAATTTTTATTGAAACTTATCTGACATTTACCTCAAATATGTTATGAAACTTACACGTATGTATAACCATGGATAATAAAATGTTATTTTACAATCCATGATGTAACTTACACGGGCGTATATGCTAAAGGATTTACCGTCAATAATCTTAGGAATATTTGGCGTGGTCAGGGCCGTACACAGCGGGGGCGCAACTGCCCCCCCCCCCCGAGAAAACTATATTTACGATTTTTAGAATGTCATTATTAATTATTCTTTGGATATTTGAGACTTTTTTCGGCATATAGGCCTTACCACGTACAAAAAAATCCTGCGTACGGCCCTGGGCGTGGTCAGGTAATTATATTATTACATCATCAAAAGATTACCTTATGTTCTTGTTAAAGTTAGGTGAATTCTTAAACAAAGTTCATATGCTAGCTTACAGTTTGAATATTTTGCTATAAAAACATTTGGCATAGCTAGTCTTCAGTACCCAAGCTGTAAGAGTAGTCACGTCAGAAGCAGCATGTTTTTGAGTTTTGTACTTTTGAAGTATTCAAGTAAATGTTAAAAATCCATAAAAAAAACCCATAGAACTATTAGTACGGAGGTTGAAAATGGTTAGAGGTACTACCTGCAACATCGTAATTTATTTTCAAATTTATTTTAGAAAATTAGTGTTAATTGCTGTTCAAGATGCTTCTTCTGGACAAATGACCGACGCAGCTTATCATGCCTTGAAGGAATTTGGAGCCAGGAATCCATTGAAGGGTAAACTCCGTAATTCGTACGCTCTTCTTGGGTGGTCTGGATACGGCGTGCTTGACGCAGTCACACAGGTAACTATGAAATAAAGTTTCTAAACAAGTGCTTTCACGGTTTAGGTGTGTAATGAACTAATATAAATTGACGAAAACTAAAAACACTCGTCGTTAGCGTTTAGGGTGAAAGTTTTTCCGCAAAACGAGAGAATAAATCGTTAATATATACAGTGCCATCAGACAGGCATTTACAATGGAAAAGAGAAACTGTGAACCCATGCATGATTATTATTATATTAGAAACACATGCATGCAGCAACCCCTCGCCTATATTTTCCAAATTACATTGAATTAACATGAAGTATTCAGAAATGGCCGACACTGAACATAGGCTCGCGTTCAAGTATTGCCATGACAACACGATATTTTCCATTTTCAATATTAATCTTCTATACTCTATAGTTTTAATTTTTTGTACAAAACGGCAAAATATAGTTGACTAGATTCGTACCTTTAACTATACAACAATTAATTTCCGAAATATATACTGTACTACTGTAGGTATGTTATAATTTCGCATTTTGTGAGCTTTGATTTAATATAAAATTTAACTTGAAATGCTTCGTAAAATGTTTTGAGATGTTCATTCAACTAAACTACATTTGCCGATAATATAAATTGTTTTTACTGAATACTTTTAAAAATAAAACATAAGTTCAAATTGTTAGGTAATTTCAGTTCCGTATTCAAATCAATTTTATTTGCTCTCCTTTACATTTTAAGTTTTTTTCCTAAAATTAAACAGGGTAATTTAGGAAACTTACAGCTTCGTTGGAAACGAAAACAGTTCATGTTCTAGGCAACAAAATTCATAAACATTAATTAGCAAACTTGCGCATGCCCTATATTTTACGATCTCCCATAGTAAATAAATTGTTCTCATTTCTTCAAACAAAAATTGCTTTAAAGCTCTTGTATATGAAACAATTTTCCAAACATTTGTCTTTCAAAATTGAAATCTTGCTTATCCCACTCCTGGCAATCCGCCATCTTTTTTAGATCAGCATTGGCAGCCCAATGTTATGGTTGCCTGCGCACGGGCACATGTGGCGCGGGCCAGGCATAGTATAGTTGTAAATAATTCAACTATATACTATGCCTCGCCCGCGCCACATATGCCAGCGCGCTGGCAACCATAATATTGGGCTGCCTTGGGCTGCCTATAAGATCAGTGAGGAGGTCCACCCATACACCAATGACACCACTTTGAACTTCGCTAATGCTTTCGTTTCCCCGGGCGGAATTAGTATCCTCGCTCCACGCCGTTGGCACTTGGCTCGGTGATTATATTATATTTTATATAATACCTTATTAAATTCTAATCGTTTAATTGGCTGTTTATGGTCACGTGATATTGAATAGAAAATTCCATTTCCCAAGAGTGCAATGGAACGCGTTCCATTGCACTCTCCGCGAGTGCAATGGAATAAAACGTATAGTACAATTGCACTCTTTGTGTTTTCGATAAATTGCATCCCTCAAAATGCTTCTCATACGAATCTATTAGTCTGTTCTAGACTTTTGGTATTATATAAAACAAATAATGAATGTTTCTTCGTGCAATGGTAAGACTATTTTCATTCGGTGAAAGATGGAATGTTCCATTCAACTCGGCTGTCGCCTCGTTGAATGGAACATTCCATCTTTCACCTCATGAAAATATTCTTACCATTGCACTCATAAACATTCATTATTTGTATAATAGTCCTTATCTACGCAGTCCGCGGCATTAGTTTAAGTGACTTCTTTCATATATTGAATTTTATACTTATATATAGATGCTGTTTTTTAATGACATTCAATTTTTTGAAGACTGAAGCCAGCTATTCCGTCGAAAACTTAATTGCTAAAATAAAATGTTACAAACAAGGAGCCCCTTACCCATAATAGTCAAATTATATATGAAACCATTTTGGTCAGAAATTGGACCAATAAACGCAAATTTCAATTGGAAAATCTCGTTTGGAAAATGCGCATCTCAATGATTTCATGCACTTATTCAAAAACTTTGCCCCACATCGGAAGTCATGAAATAATTTGAAATTGCTCATTATATTAATATGAAATTAAAATCTTATGAACGACGTTCATTCAATACAGTTTTCCGTTTAGGAAAACTATAAATATATGCGTGTTCCGAAATGATCAGAGCCCTTGCATGCATATACAGTAAAACCATAATGCACATAGTTTCACACCTTTAATATAGATTCAACGCGACCGATATCTAGGACCAAGTATTATTTCAAAAGTGATCAGCTTGCCGTTGTACTGAGGTCAGAAGGTGAGTTCATACCACAACTCATATAATCATCCAGCAGTGATTTGCAGAGGTCAATTCTTCTCAAGGAAGATATGATTGTGGACAACTACAGTCACCAAAACATCAAAGTGCTCAATTAATAATAAAATGAATGAATATAAAATGAATAGAGAGCTTAAGACCCCGTTTACACGGTACCGGACGAATTTAGAACCGGGCTGAAATTCGTCCTTTTTCGCGGAACCGCCGGACGAATTTGAGACCCCCTAACATAGTCCGTGTGTTGTGACCCGATATCGTTCACTTTCATTAAGCATGTCTTAGATCTGAAATATTTTTACGGAAACACTTTTAAGCACGCTGAGTTCAAATCCGAAATGTTCCCGCTCCGTAGACCCGCAGTTTTCTCACAAAACTGCTATTTTATCTTCAATAATTTCACGACAAATTTTTTATTGTTCAACGACACGGTCGATGACGATACACGATTATATCACTCAAAAGGACCAATTTCTATTAACCAGACGAGTCTTCCTTTTAACAAAAGACCGGTTTTGCTCGAATCATTTTGTGTTATGTAATCTTATGCGTGCAGTTGGACGTAAACAACATATCTTGTCTACTAATTTTGTGATGCTCTTTCAAGCTGTGATGAAATTTTTCTCTAGACTTGTCTAGATCAAAATTTTAGTTATAAAGTTAGTTAAAGGTCCATTAAAACTGATGGTTTAACTGACTACAGAGCAAAGAGTTTTGACTGTTTTACGCGCTACGTTAAATTAATCAGCAAGTCATATTCATATGTTGAACGATGCCGAAAACTTTTAAATAACTTCATAAAATTCGACTATTCAATTGTGTTTACGCGCCCATTGGTTCAGTATTAGCTATAGGATTCACGCGTCAAATATAAAGACTGTTTTCCACTTCAACCCATCGTAACATATATACCGTAGCATTTTCTTTTGTATCCAAGTCATTAGTTCCACACTACCGCTCAGGAAACAAAGAAATACGCTACGTTTCAGTACGATTGAAGTGGAAAACTGGTTTAATTTAACATTAAGGTGAATTTCTAAACTGAGCCAATTAAGGGTCACTTTTAATTTTATACACCCTGTACTATTTTTGACAAGTGAGCATGTAACAAAGTAAACTTTTCTGGAGCACTTTTACTTGGAACGAAGTCGTTTTAAGAAGTAACGTTTTACTTCGTTATTTTCATTTTGTGGCGAAGTATTTCGTTACTTTCTAACTTTTGTTTAATTTTACGCGATTTATTTCTGGTTTATTTTAATTTCGGGAAAGGTAATACGACCTCTACATGCGTCTGGGATCTCTCGTTTGTGATTTACTTATAAGAATTATTAATTTAATGGATTTCTTATATCTTCAACGGAGTCTGGAAAGTAGACCACGCCGGTGCACGCATATAATGCGTATGTTGTTTTGTGTCTTTTGTATGTTAATCCATTGGAGAAGTTCCCTTCCCCCTTTACACGCCACAGACATAATAGTACTTTTACTTTTACTTTGTACTTCAAGTATTTTTTACTGAAGGAACTTTGTACTTTTACTTAAGTACGTTTTGCTTCCAGTACTTTTTACTCTTACTCAAGTCGTTTTATTGTTAATTACTTCTACTTTTACTCGAGTATAAATTCAAAGTAATTTAGGCACCACTGAAAATACACGCACATATACGCTCATCCAAATATTAATCGATCCTTTGAATTCTGGTCGCTACAGATGTTTTCAATTCTTAAGTGCATGACTGTCCCATCATAAAAGTTTCCAGATGTATATCATTAGATGAATTTTAAACTAGTTTCCTTTGTTTTTCGCTTCAAAAATTTATCGACAGACATCATATCCCAAAACTTTATTTTTGACAGTGTAAATATGATCATGAATCATGATGAGATTTTCAACTGTAAAGATATTAATAACATGTACTCCTAGAATGACCCAAATAATACACACGCACAAGAAATCATATTAAATTTTGTGGTTGGACCTTCCAACTCCAATCAACTTCTAGATTCGCATTATGGTCGCATTCCTTGGCCGCATATGATGTTTACATATCTCCTCAAGATATTGGTTTAGCAGTTTAATTTTAAATTTCTCTATTTTTTGCTTAGGAAGAAGATTATGTACCAAGAAACTATTCGTTGTACTTGTTATTAATAGATGTATGTTTCGTTCTGTAGTTTTTATTGTGATATACAGTATATATTCGATAGTGAACTTTACATAAATTCATATTAAATTAAGTCTAATCATTCTAGTAATCAGTTTTTTAATAAAACCGTTGGACCCAGGTTCATTATGTAAAATTAATATTGTTTGTATGTATTTTTAAGAAATAGAAAACAAGTACAGTCGCGTGCGTTTTAGTCTCTTTTCGAGTGTTCTCCCAACATCCCCGAGTGTTGTTTTATGTTAACCGTAAATATCCTTCGCGAAATAACAATGAACTAAGTTGGCAAGAGCTTTCTTCTTTGAGTAAAAATACAATTATTTTGAAGCCGTATCGATCACAACATAATTTTGCAATATTATAACGCGTCTTTTTTAATAAATGATATAATACTGTCTCGGGTACGTTGTTGTCACGGGCAAGTGTCCTTTACCGATTTGACTTGGACAAATTCGTCTTCAAGTCCTTGGTGGGAGTTTGGGTAATTGTCGAGTGTCAAAAGTCGAGTTCGAGGGCCGAAAGTCGTTGTACGTGTTTGAAAATCGAAAATGCTATTATTTTATTAATACATTTCTAGAGTACTACATTTTTTGTATTTGTTGTCAAAAGGTTAAAAGTTTCCTGATAATACCTTTTTGTTTGCTCGTGAAACCAAACATATAGAAATTTCAAACCAGCGGCAACGCCCAAACCTGATGCAGTACTGCGCCGAATTTTTTTAAGAGAAATTGATCCATTTTCTCTTTTAAGTGTCTCATATGGCTGTAACACAGAACAATGCCTTATATGCAGTGTAAAATTACCGTAAAAATATTCGAGAACGAAGTATATGGTGTTTATTGTACTGTCAGAACGAATGAGTTAGATTTGCAGGCTGGGTTTGGGCTAAGGCAGCTTTAAATAAACAGCAGAGACCTTACGATGTGCGACGGCAAGGTGACGACAACGGCTATAGAGCCGGTTTGCGCATTACGTCATAGCCGCCATGTTGGTGTTCCAATTCAAAAGAATTTTAATTATAGACTCTTTTGTTTGGAACACCAACATGGCCCAACATGGCCGCCATGGCTTTTGTTGAGTTAGTCCCTGGGAAATGAGTGCAAACGCTCTATTCATAAAATGAGATTCATAATATGTAAGAAAAAAATGAATAATTAATATCCCACGGGAGTTTGAGACGTCATCCACGGCCTGTTTACAACGGGAAACTACAGACTTTTACGTCTTGTATAAAACGCCTGCAAATTTCAAGACGCGAGATGTGATACTCAGTAAATTAGCTCAGTATTACAATAGAACTTTCTCAATAATAAAGCCACTACTTCAAGCTAACCAAACAGTATTAAATTGATACGATCAATGATTAAGAAATAGAAAACGAGTCGCCTGCGTTTATGGTGTGATAATGCATGCAGGGAATGTTATATAGGAGAATACGATAGAAGTGTGTAAAATACGAGGCGTAGCTGAGTGTTTTACACGCTTCTCAAGCAACCAAGACCCTGGGTACGAGGTTGCTTCTCGAGCAGAAGATATTACATAGTAAACAATTATATAATTAATTTTACTCAAAACATAGACTTATTATTTCCATATGTGAAATTGTTATTAAATTCTACAAGTTCAATGATTCATTCCAGTATTATTATTGTTTATACATATGTCGCATTATTGTGCAGTATTGAGTGGCAAGCTAGCCATGGCAATTACTGGTCATGCTATGCTAATAGACCTGCAATGCAAATCATTAAAAATCGTAGCATGACCTGTTGCTACGGTTAGCTTCACCACTGACAGTATTATAATTATACATACATACAAAAGCAAGAAGTTATAAGCATTGAAGGTATTCATATAAAATTGCCCATGCCAAGAAAGTAGAATTAGAATATTTAGCTGACCTTTGACTTTGTGCAAAGGTGTTTGGTATTCAAATTACACTTTTCTTACCTCCTGAACAGGCGTCTCAGGGGCTGTTTACATAATGGAAGGTGGGATGATTTGATGTATTGAAATAAGTCAATAGGCTAAACGTTCAAATGCTGGTTAACAGAACTCAAATGTTGTAGAGCAGATCTTGTAGTTCTAGTCTAGAAGATTATTATTGCTGCTTGAACAATTGCTGTCGGGTAACTATATTGCTATCTCTCAGAAATAGATCTTCAATAGACTTATTGAAATAGATCTAAATCATCCTGCCTCACATCTTGTCTTGGCAAAGCGGGATATCATAAAACAGCCCCTTATTCAGCAAATTGCGCATGCTGCCTTCTTTGATCCCTTGGGAGTGAGGCAGCACTTTCCTTGCGATAGTAACTTCTAGTATTATAATATAGTCTACAAACTTTCTTCCTGATGATCGCCGACGTCGGCGATGCCCATTGTCGTTGATCATTTATATTCATTGACGAGTAAAATCTTTTGTCTATGCATGTTCTTCTTCACTGACCTCAAACAATGGCATCGCCGACGTCGGCGACATATGAGAATCAGGCTTTACAATCGTTTATTTGAATGCATGATTTAATTCTGGCCGTTGTCGTTGCGTTGCCGTCCCACATCGTAATCATTACTGAGCTATATATTTCGTATGTATTAATCTCTGATAAACAAGGGCAGATTTCGTGCTCGACCAATCAGCGCATTTGTTTACATTTTCGCTAATCATAATGCAGGAAACGAGAAATTTACACCAAGGCGAGCTAGAAAATATTGCCGTTTTCTCGGGCTTCCGTGAGATTCAATTTTAACTTTTTTAATTTAAAACCAAAAGATTATGATGTAGCACATTAAAATCTAAAACTTTGCCGTGGGCATTTTTAAATTTCGACCTAGAACGGAAAATATCCGTGTTTGAAATTTTTCCCTATGTCGCGTATACAAATTTGAGTAATCTAATTTGACTGCAATCCAGACTGGAAAATCGGGCAATGCCGCCCCCGATTTTTTTTCGGGGACAAATTTTTGCGCCCCTGGATGTCTTCTAAAAAAGACTCCCAAATTTTTTTGCGCCCGCGGCCCGCAGAATAATTGATAAATAACACCAACCAATAACAGAACATCACTTTTGCAATGACAGTAATGTTGTCTTGAATCTCTTCAGTACCGCATTGCTATAATCTGTCGGCAAAAGATCCAAATCGTGATTTGAGTTGGCTAGAGCTTGGACATGTGGCAAAGCGCAGACATGCTTGAAGAACTCGTGGAATTCATTGTTGCCGCTTGTTTCCCATTGGATTCGGTCGTCACGCTCTATAACTAGCTTTCCACCCTCAACTTTGTAATTACTAATTGCACATCTGTTTTGCTATATTCTCGAAATCAAAGATATTGCACAGCTCTTGACTGAAGTCAGTACAATCACTACAATATTTGTGAACCGAGCTTGAAGCCCAACCCGAAGATCTTTGCAAAGTGGTCTGGCTAACGACTAACCAGTCAGAGTTAAAAATTGGGATACCCTAAAACAAATAATCAAGAATGCAATTCTAAAGTAGGCATGATACATTATACACATGAAAAAATCCAACACTGCATTTGTCAAGTAAAATAATTAGATTTGACATTTCCCAATTTTGGGAAATTATTGGGGGGTTTTCATAGTATAATTACCTGAAAGGCACCATAATCCACTTCATCTTCACAGAACTCGTGGGTGGAGTCAATTCTTCCCAGTGCTTAGAAAGCTTCGGCAACTTCTCTTCAGGGATTGTTTCCAACACCGCTTCAAGGTTTGCTTCCACACCTTCAGGATCTTGATCATTCTTGAAAACCACGTAACAATCCTCCAAGGTGGAAAATGTACAGCTTGTGCTCTTAGTATCAATGATATGACAGGCTCTAGAACATCCAATGTTCCACAAAGATCAATATAGAGAACATGTCTGTAGATTACGGTCAAAATAGAGAACATGTCTGTAGATTCATTGAACAACTTAATTAACTAGTTTTAAATGAAATTAAAGAGAAGAAGTTAGTTTCCAACGACATATTTATTCATTGTATTATTACAGTTCACTCGTTCGCAAGATGTATATAAGTTATATTTTTAGTCTTGGCCTAACCGCTGTTTATGCTAAACAGGCTTCGTAACACCAGCCATTAATTGGCCATCAACGTTAATATGGCGCTTACCTGGTATTTATTTTCTTCTTCCTCATCGTTCTCATTTTCCCGGCATCTGTATAAAGCCTTCAAATTTAGCGATGCAGCCAAACCTTAGTATTCTGCATGACCATAGCCACGTCCAAACATTACGTGAAGTTTGTTGGATGTTTTAATAAGCCTCTTCAAGAAAGCAGCAGACGCACCGACTTCTCTTAGTCAAGAACATGGAAAAAAATATTTTAAAGGTATCAATAGGTACATTTTTGCGCCCCTGCCCTTGGATTCAACAGCTTTTGCGCCCCCGAGATCTCGTCGAAAACCGCCCGATTTTCCAATCTGGAGTCTGCAATAAAACTAAAAATTGCTATATTTTCTCTGCTTTACGTTTTCGTTAGAAAACTCTTTTTTTGCTCTTGTTGAGAATCATTTTAGTCAATGTATTATTTCATAACCTAGAAGATAACGCGTTTAGAAAGTCTGATTTTCTGCAAAATCGGTCGGACAATATTTTTGTATTGATTTCCCGTATGATCGCGAGCGTGCGACTATATATTTTTTTAAATCAAGCTCTATAAACGCTTTATCGTCTAGGTTTTGATATAAAACATTGACCAAAACAATTTGCAACAAGAGCTAAAAAGAGTTTACCAACAAAACCTTAAAAACAGAGAAAATATAGCAATTTTTAGTTTTATTGCAGTCAAATTAGATTACTCAAATTTGTATACGATTTGTATACGCGACATAGGGAAAAATTTCAAACATGGATAATGCCCACGGCAAAGTTTTAGATTTGAATGTGCTGCATCATAATCTTTTGGTTTTAAATTTAAAAAGTTAAAATTGAATCTCACGGAAGCCCGAGAAGACGGCAATATTTTCTAGCTCGCCTTGTTGTTAATTTCTCGTTTCCTGCATTATGATTAGCTGAGAGCGAAAATGTAAACAAATGCGCTGATTGGTCGAGCGCGAAATCTGCCCTTGTTTCTCTGATATGTATTAATGCTAATAAAGGAATTTCATTGGGGGAATTCCCCTTAATTTCGCTTCAATGCATTCATACATTATTAATTACGCCTACGTAATTAATAAAACGTATAACAAGTTTACATGCACTTTGTATACTATCCGATAGTCTATACGTCTTTTGTCGGTTTATGTACCGTTAACCGCTTCTGCAACGTAATTGTGAAGAAATGGTTTAGGCGTTTCGATAATGGATGGCAAAGAAACTGTTGAAGGTGGGTAGGATTTATATTTTATCTCAGAATAAACGTAAGTTGTTTTGAACGATTATATAAACATGATGAAAAATATTAAGTCATCACAATCTGCTGTGGTGTAAAATATGATGCATGTGTTTATGACTTTTTAAAAAGTCTTAAAAGACACAGTCAAATAAGTGCATGTTTATATGTTATATTACTATTACATGCATATATTGACACATATATCCCTCGGCCTCGACATATCGGACGACAAAACAAGTTTGATAATACTTCGTCAAGCTACAGGACATCGAGAAGGACACTTTCTGGATACTGTAATTTTTTTATTATTGTCAGCAACACTAACCGTATTTAAATTCAAACTATGTTTGGATATGAGACCTTCAGAACCGTACGCAAATTCGTCCAGTTCAATTTATTCACACAGTAGATCGCGATCGTACATTAGCTGTGCTCGAAGGCGAATTGGGTCCGGTCGCGTGTGAACGATGCCTACTTGGAGTGTCAAGCAAAGTGATCGAAACAGGTTGAAACGGACGGGATTTAAAATTTGTTACCCCAAAAACTAGTTAGTCTTAAATTCTACAAAAGAAACTTTTCGCTGTTCAATTATAATTAACCGATTGGTTCCAAGAATAAGTCTTCAAGTGAACTGCATGCATGGCTCGCATTTTGTATCAGTTTTGTATGCTCTTCCTCTGGTCTAGTCTGACGTTGTTCGATAATAAGTACTATAATATAAATGTCTTAAAAATAAAATTGCGCTAGATTCTTATCTTAATGTGTACAGTTAAAAAGAAACATGTACACTAACAAGAATCGCTATGTATATACAATGTAAAATATTATAATATAGAGATGGCTTGTCTGATCTTGTCTGTTCGATCACAGCTGGCGGCCGGTATTAGGTATTGTGCCTCTTGACGTCTTAACATTTAGTAGTCATAAGTCGTGTTTACACTACCAGCCTTGGCCTGGCCTTGGCCTACATTTTGACAGTGTAAATAGACCTTGGCCTAACCTTGGCCTGACCTATAGGCCAGGAAATCTCACTACAACCGGTGGTCTAGGCTTGTGTTAATGTAAACACTTTCGGTCCTGGCCTGGGTCTTAGAAAAATGGTGACACGTTGCACCGCTGAGTGGCCCTTCTGGTACTGATCTTTATTCTGTGCTGTCGTTGCGAGTTGCATGAAAATCAATGCAGCGTGTAACACCTCTTGTAATGCATTATCAAAATATTTTTTTAAACATTGCGAGACAAGTTGCACGGTGCAATTTTTCATGCAACTTGTCTCGCAATGTTTAAAAAAATATTTTGATAATGCATTGCAAGAGGTGTTACACGCTGCATTGATTTTCATGCAACTCGCAACGACAACACAGAATAAAGATCAGTACCAGAAGGGCCACTCAGCGGTGCAACGTGTCACCATTTTTCTATGCAAAAATATGCAATTGACTGGCCAGGAAGATGGCGGCCAGCCAATACAGCGCGTTTATTGGCCAGAAAATGTAATCGACTGGCTAGGAAGATGGCGGCCAGGGGCCCTTCTGTGTGCCTTATTCTGTGACGATAGGGGACAGAGGCATGCGAAGAGACTAGGGAGAGGCGCTATTTGGCGCCAAATTTGAATTAAAGTAAAGCGTGTATTGGGGAGAGCCAATAGGAACTCTCCAAGCATTAAACATTGTGAGACAAGTTGCACGAAGCCATGTTACACGCTGCAATGCTAAAAATAATTAGTGCAATCGTTGCCAAAAGTAGAACCGATTTCTACTCTCTGCAATGCTTCATGCAACTTGTCTCGCAACGATTTTGACCATTGCAAGGCATGTTAAACGGTGCAATGACTCGTGCAACTTGTCTCGCAACGCCATTGTGAGACAAGTTGCATGAAAAATTGCACCGTGTAACAGGGCCTTAATTTTCATTGCAACGTGTGCCCACAGTGAGAGATTAGCGGACAACCAGCGGACAACGTCACAACACATAAAAATAAGCAGCTGGGAAATTTGTTGCGCATGCGCCAGATTTCCATTGAAATTTGAAACTTGAAGATTTCCCCGAAGAAATAACGAGATGTTCGTGGTTGTTGTATATCATATTAAATATTTTTGAATGTCTGTTTAATCTTTATAATTTTTTTGCTCAAGACAAAGACAAAGTAAAATGTACTCTACGTTTCCAGTGTATAAAATATCTCGTTTGTGTTTGAACAGCAATAGAACATTTATAAACTTGACACAAACAAGAAGACATTTGACACGCTAAATCTGCAGTCACGCCTGCCAATCGTCGCAAGCTTGATACCCTTGTCAAACGCAAAACAGGTACTAATTTGGTTTTAAACAGAAAGAAGTTCAATGTTAATACCACTAACATATATTCTATAGAAATACGGGTGGTTTAAAATGTTTTCAATTGAATTTTCAAAGCTTTTATCTATCGACATGATAATCAAACTGTGAAAATGCCGGCTTTTGTTGATGCTTGCGAATGCAAAATAACTTCCCGTAAACAGAGCATTTCTATACAAAACTCTCGCTTAGTCTTCTAATGCACTTGTATGTTCGGTTCTACTAGTTAAAGAAGGAAAATATCCAAGAAACACTGGTAAATTATCGTTGTCAAAAAACATTTCAGTGCTGAGGCAGTACAAGGTCTCAAGGGCAAGGTCAAGTTGTCGATTTCATTACATTTTACAGTAGTTCGAATGTTTTCTCATACAAGACTGAGTAAACGCACGCATTTCAAAGCGAAATTAGACGCAAAGGGGCATTTTTCAACAGAATTCATTGTTAAATTATGTTTCCTATGTGCCTTGGGAGCAAAAAAATATGATTTTAAATTTGGAGATTTCGGTAAATTTTTTTGCAATTTGGCCTGGTATTGCACCCTACCTATCTACTAACTGTGCTGTAAAAGTAATCAAATATACTATTTTTAATTTCCTTTCATTGAAAGGATCTACTATTGTGGACTAAACTAAATTTTAATCAGCATACAAGGCTGCAAACAACAGCCAAGAATTAGCTGGGTAGTTTGCAAACTTTAAAAATAATTGAACCTCAAACTTTGATCTCCAGAAGTAAACAAATAGACAATACTGCGAACATAATCCAAGTTTTGATCATGAGGGGCAATTTTTAGATGTAAAAAAACTTGTTTAAATTACATATCAAACTAAGGCAAAACAAAATTTGGTATTAAATTTTTGGTGAAATCGTCAAAGTTTTTTGCTATCCGCCCACGCTTCTACACCCCCTCTCCCAGGATATTCTATGTCAGAAAACAGTTTTCTGCAGAAACTATGCTTTTTTATCGGAAAAATGTTTACTTTTCTCAAAAAATACCTTATAAACACGGAAACCTTAAATATTTAAATAATTTTCATACCTTTTTGGGATTGAAAAAAGCAAAATTTGATTCATTATCCCACTTTTTAAAATATATGTGACAAAGTTGCTTCAAAATCACCATCACGCAGTAGTAGGTTTATTTACCCTCATCCTTTTGACTGAATAAAGTTTATCGTTTTGAAAAGCTATTTGTTTTATAGCTTTTGGTTACCGGTTTACGTTTATGTCGATTTTGCCACCCATGAGACCAACAAGTTGTGGTAATCCGCGAATCAAAATGGATATTCGAAGAGCACAAAAGCCAACTCCTAGCTATGTAACTTTATCGCCTGAATTTTGAATCAATCCACAATTAAATTGCTGGTAATATAGATGCTTTCCATACTTGAGATGTTAGTGAAGTTTTTCCAACAATTTAATTTCCTTGATCGCCGTCTTAAAAATGCAAAATCATAAGTTGAAATTTCACTC